TGGAGGAGCTGGAAAACATTGACGATGAGGCGGACGCATTTGGCATCGATTTTGTCAAGATCAATGACGCTGAAGCAGCCACAGACTACGGGATCGTCAATCTTCCGGCGCTTGTGTATTTCCGCAAAAAGATGCCTCTGGTGTATGATGGTAAGTACGGCAGATATTTCGCGCGACCCGGAACTTTTTTTTTTTACGGAGGACATTTTTTTCTTTTTTAAACTGTAGAAGTGTGCATTGATGTGTTTAAATGGTCCTTCAATTTTCCACCTAATTTGCTGATCTTCAATCGCATTGGGATACAGTTCCAAATGAGAGTGAGGGGTTACGGTGATTATTATAACTTTCCGGTGGATATCTGAGGTCCTGCGCGGGTTATTGATGCGGATGTGCATAGCTCTAAAAAAAGAATTATTGTTCAGATTTACAGCGCCTTTCCGTTTCTTCCTCAGGAAGTCTGCACTGTTCTATGAAATATGTTAGCATTTCATTTTTGTGCAAATTTTGGACATTTTTGGTGAATGTCATACTTGGAATGCATGTATTTCAGTTTGAAAACATGAGTTTCAGAAAAGGCGGTACAGTATTTGAATGAGTAAAACAGTAAATATTCAGGCTTGAATCAAACTAGCTGCTGAAAATGTAAAACAGGAACAAATGCAGCCCAATTGAATTCTATTTTTATTCGAACTTTGAAATTCGGCGTTTATAACCTTAACGAAATTTTTTTGCCAGAGAAGACTATACAGGTTGCGTATCTTACTCCGCGATTGATATTTTCGAAATTGGTTGAGACATGCAAGGAAAATTGAAAAACAAATTCCTATAGGCCCAAAGAACGTATCACTGCACACTTGGGAGAGAAAGTGATCAGATCCTTGGTGAAATTTCTGATCTATTCAGCGAAGTATACTCACGGGTTAATTTTTCCTGTGGAAATTGGCAGGAGACCTCAAGGATGAGGAACGGGTTTTGGCCTGGCTCACATCTCAGGATGTGTTTGAGATCAAGGATGAGATTGAGGAGGTGAATCGCAAGATGCTTGAGAAGCTGCTGGACGAAAACGACTTCGTGGCCGTATTTTTCTGTGAGTGTTGATCTATGATCTGCGTAAATCTTGCCTTCTGCCTTGTCCGCGAATTTTTTTTCAGAATCCGTCGATTTTTTTCTCAAGAATTTGCACGCGGCGGTATAAAAAAAAAAGTACAGCCTCATCGTCTGCGATCGATGAAAATATACAGTTTAAAGTAAACTTATACCCTCCATTGATTTCTTTCCACATCATCTCATAGAACCATGACGTTAACAACAATAAAATCCCATAAAATCGATATAGACCCTCTTTATTTCAGCTAGATTTTAAATTGGGATTTTTGAACGGATCGGGACCTATCGGAATAAGACGTTCCGTAAAAAATACGGGAATCAATTACTGTAGGAAAATCCGTTTTTCATTTAAAAAAAATTATCGAAAGAATGAATCTTTTTTATTTTGCTATTTCGTCTAGTATCTGACTCAAATGCTTGAAAATTATCTCAAAATTCTGGTTTTTCTTGATGTGTGATAAATTCAAGTTTTTTTTTTGCAACTCTTCCAATGGGAATCGTTGAGTAAGCAACATCAGGAGCTGCGATATGAACCATTTTTACTGAGGATGAATTCATTCGTTGAGTGAGCTGCCTTTATGAATTTTTCCTCCCGGTTTTCATCTTCATCTCGAACCTCTATAAATAAGGCACCAACTTTCCTCCAAATGTTTTCAAACGGAAGGAAACGGATAGGATAACTATACATCCGTAATTAATCGTTTTCAATGTTTGTTTCCGGTTCCATCTCAAACCTGAAATAGTCGCCGAGATCAATTTTTCGCCGAGAGCTGGAAAAGACGAATCTTTTAAACGGATGACATTGATCGCATCCGTTTCAGTTGGTTGATGACTTATGGTCATCAGCTTTAGCATTAAAATAGAAACCTCGTGCGTGTGGTTCGTTCAATATAATGAATGATTTTTTTTTTTGCAGACGAAGGGGACTGTCGGAAATGCGACGAAGCACTGGAAGAGCTGGAGCGCATCGACGACGAGACGGACAACCTGGACATCACATTTGTCAAGATCAAAGACGCGAGATATGCTCGCAAATACGGCATCAACAAATTGCCAGCACTCGTCTATTTCCGCAAACGCTTTCCGTCCATCTACAGAGGCAAGATAACTTTCATGTTCGCTCGCTTGAAGTTACAGTTCTCGAAGGGGTAGTATTACTCATCTATCTTGAAAAGTCGAACGTCTTAAAATCAAACTTCAATAAGGGACCAGCAAAAAGAAAAATTCGAGGTACAAATGCTTCAAGTTCGACGAGTATTTTTATTTGGGGGAAAAGAAAGAGGAATTACTGGAAATTGTAATAGGGGATATTCTAGGTTATCCAAGTTGCGTATTCTTGAATGAGTTGAAAGGATGCTGAACTATAGGGAAAATTGCAAGGATTTGATTCCAACATTTGAACAGCATCGTCTTGTTATAGAATTCGAAGGAGGAATTTAATCATTGAACAACATTTTTGACAGTGCAGAATTTTCTGCGCATTGATACTGCCAATGCCAGGAAAAAACTAGCGCAAAAATTATTTGATGATAGATTCCCTCCTTCGAAATGTTAAATAGAATCAACATAATGCTGAAGAAAATGATTATAGCTGTGTATATTCCCGAAAACTTTATTATTTTGTCAATAACGTTTTTTTTTATAAATGGCTGACTATAGAACTCGGAAACGTCAAGGCAGTAATTACACAACTTATTTTGGGGGACATTTCACTTCTTGTTGGAAATAATTCAGTGAAATTCATTTTAACTGAAGATCCCAAGCTCTTGTATTAGTAAAATCTCTTTACAACGAAGCCAATGTACCAGTGAAATACCTTCGTTGTAAGGATAAATATTCGTTATGAGGTAACTCATTCACCAATGTGGCTTTTGGACGGGGACCTAAAATAAAACTTTGTTTTAAGTGATCATTTGTTATAACAAGATTCCTTGTAATGAGATTCTACTGTATCTACCAACAGATACAAGTACACTAGTACGGCATCCATTTTAGTATGTGCAGGAGCAGATTAGTTTTNTTTTTCACCCCCCCCCCCCCCCCCGATATACTTGCCCGTTTTGCCCCGGATCCTGTTGATTAATTGCGTTGCGTGCGTGTGTGTGTTCGCTCGATAAACAGAAACATTGAAGAAGAAGAAGAGAAAAAAGCAACGAGGTTTGACTGGGTTGACGCCGGACTCGATGATTTCACCTTCAACTTCGCTTATTTGGATGTACAGTACAGTAGTCGAACCTAGGAACCTCTAAAAATATTCGAATTATGGAGGTTTCCAGTTATGATGGAACGAGCCTTTTTTCAGTTCTTCGGGGATGGGAAAGGAAGATAAAATTACAGTAATTTTTAATTGGGGATATCTTGGGCCTTGAATTGCTTATTGATTGAGTCAGCAGGATGCTGAACTTGGAGGCAGGGGTTCAGTTTCCTAATTAGTCATTTCACTTCCTTTAAAACAGCCCAAGGTAAATTTTTATTGCTTTTCTTTTTCATGAGTCAATAGAACGATAGATAAAAGGCCTCCAGAAAACTTGAGTGATGGAATTTTGCATTATTTCTGAATGGAATTCATGTCAAAAAAGATTTCACACATACAGTATAGAGGGGGCCAAGTTCTTTACTTTCAGCTGTATTGTAATGGCATCAATTCTTGGGAAATGTTTTCAAGCTTTATTGTATCATCTCTGGGAATGCAGCTGGAAGTGTATGCATGGTTGATATTTCATATGGCCAGTGTGCTGGTACTCACGTTTTCTTCAATTTTTTGTCTCACCCAGGATGGATCCTACTTTGAGGAGAGGGTGAGTCAATCTCTGGGAATGCAGGTGGAAGTATGCATGGTTATATTTCATATGGCCAGTGTGCTGGTACTCACGTTTTCTTCAATTTTTTGTCTCACCCAGGATGGATCCTATACTTTGAGGAGAGGGTGAGTCCTGAGTTCAGAATTTCAAGTTTATATTCAAATCAAAGCAGTCATTGTGAATGAGAAAAGTGAAATTGTGGCATGTATAACTCAACAATTTTGTATGTAAGAAATTTTGGAGTTGGCTGGGATTGTCACCATAAAATAACTTCTTCAATAATTTAATTCTTGAGTTCTGATACGGATTTTTGTGAAGATATTCATATGATTGATATAACTTCCGGGAATTTAGCTTTTCCATATTGAAATGTTTTTCAAATATAGAATATCATTATAACAATTGATTCCTTGCACAAAAATTGTGTTTGTAATAAAGCCTTCTTCATTGTCCCAAAATGCTTTGTTGTACTGATTATACTTGTACAACACATCCTAGAGCAAATTATTTTGGTAATGTAGAGACCAATTTTACTGGGAACTCTTGTGGCACGGCTGGCACCTGAGTAAAAGTATCAGGGAAATTATTTAAAGGCATCTAAAGTTGAAAGTACAGTACTTTCATCAGAAATCCAACAGGTTAGTGAATTACATCAGATGATGTGCAGTTTATGCTATAAAGGTGAGCATGGGCGTATCGAAGGATAATTGATGCATGATCATTTTCTGTGGTAATTCATGAAAATGATGCCTGAAAATGGGGAGGTGAATGTGAAGTACATGGACGTTTTCTGGAAACTGTTATATTGTTCAAAATACCACGCCACTTCTTCAATATGCTCATTTATCCTTGGCTCCCTTGATAAGGTTATGGTGCATATGCTGTAAGCAGTACACTGAAGTTCTCATCAAAAGCTAGAACGATTCAAACGTAAAAAATGCTTCTTATCATATGGATTGCGATTTTCGAAAGAACTGCCAGCAGGTTAAATTGTACAGGACTATTCAAAGTTGAACCTCGAAAATTCCGAGATCATCCCCGTCAAGTCTCATCAGAACAATTCCGGTTTCACATGCACATGGGATACAAAACGTGAATTAAGTTATCGTGTAAATTTGTGTGCGGCGCGAGTTTTCGAATTTTACGCTGCGCCATCTTCCCATGGCTGTCTTTAAAAAATAAATCACGAAAATGAATCGGTTTTGTGCTATGATGACGGAAGCTGTCATCAACCTGTTATTGAAGGTGCTGCTTTTAAAAGCTGAACAAGAATATTTATTTACAATATTCCCAGCACAGACACTATGGTTATATAGTCGACACGCACGAGGACGGTTCAGTTTTATCCGATTCAAACA